TTGCTTGCTCTCTCTGTCAAATAAATAAATAAAATCTTTAAAAAAATATTTTATTTGTAAGTAATCTCTACACCCAACACAGGGCTTAAACTCACACCCCTGAGATCAATAGTCACATGCTCCACCAAGTGAGCTGGCCTAGTGGCCCTTAGAGTGAATCTTAAACTCTCAATAAAGAAAGAAATTTGGACTTGCGTGGAGATTCTCCCTTTACTGGTCCAGTGCAGAGGGACTATAGCCACCGCGGGGGTTCTTAATCAGCAGAATTCTGTCAATGCAATTTGGCAATGTCTGGGGACATTTCTGTTTTTCATAATGAGGAGGTGGAAGTGCTAGGAGCATCTGCTGGGTAGAAGCCAGGGATGCTGCTAAAACATTCTATAATCCGTAGGATGGCCGCCCACAATACAGAATTATCTCATCCCAAATGTCAATGGTGCCAAGGTGGGGAAACGTTTGCCTAGCAGACTTTGGGTTGCTTCATTTTTACAAAAGATATTATTGTTACCTCTCATTTAATCTCTAAATCACCAGTTTCCTAAAGTGACTGAGATTAAGAATCACATAAAAAACCTTTAAAAAAGAAATAGGAGGGGCGCCTGGGTGACTCAGTTTGTTAAGCATCTGACTTCCGGGTTGGGTCATAATCTGGGGTCCTGGGATTGGGCCTGCATCTGGCTCCCAGCTCAGCCAGGGATTCTGCTTCTCCCTCTTCCTCTGCCCCTCCCCTCCACTTGTGTGCGCGCGCTCTCTCTCTCAAATAAATAAGTAAAAATCTTAAAAAAAAAAAAAAAGAAAGAAATAGGAAATGAAAGGTATCTGTGTCCACTGCAAACCTAAATGAGAATCTCTGTAGGTTGGGCTAGAAATTTGTGCTTTTTCAGTTTTATAAGTAATTCCCACATAGCCTGTTTCCTGATGGCATTTGCAAACTACTGCTGTAAATTAACAAATCGGCTTCTAAATCAGCATTAGAAAAGTTCTTGCTCCTAAGCTGCTACCAAAGTCCATAATTCTGAGCTCTCTGCTGTTGACCTTTCACAAAAGCCAAATGGAGAAAAATATTAATGAAGGAACATGCAGTACATCTCATTCCCAGATCAGGCTGGGCCACTGGAAAACTTGGCATAGGAAAGATTTGTCTTACTGAACTGAAATGCATTGTTTAGTGTTCATTGTCACTGAAGGAAAAAATTAAGGTCTTTCAAACTTTATTTGCTGTGGGGATGTCATGAAAGCAAGGAGCTGCTATAACTTTAATTGATCTTATCTAATATATATCTCTTGGTTTCGCAACATAAATGAAAAGTTAGAAATGTTTTCTTCTTCCCAAGGAATTACTTTGTTTCCTCATAAACAGAAAAGATTGTAAACTGATGACATTTTCTCCCTTTCCTTTAGCTGCAAGGCTATTCAGGGCCAAATACATGAGAGTATGTGGCATGTGAATATGGTTATTTTGTATTTTTCTTGGTCATGATTTTGTTGTTGGTACTCCTGTAATACTTCACATTATTACTTTAAGTAATAACCCATTATGCAACAAGATGGGGAATAAATGAGTATTTTCTACAAAGCTAGCTTCACAAAAGGGAAATAAGCCCAATACCAACATAATGTTTTAAACTTAAAGTAACATTAAAATTCATTTGCTATCCATATGAGCACGATGATTGTTCTATTTTCATAACTCTAAAAGTATTTTTCAACCTCAGAAAGTTGCATACTAAGTGGAGAGTTAAAAATGCCTTTTCTGGGCTGCCTGGTGGCTCAGTTCGTTGGGTGTCTGCGTTCGGCTCAGGTCATGATCTGGGGACCCTGGGATCCAGCCCCACATTGGGCTCCCTACTGAGCAGGGAGCCTGCTTCTCCCTTTCCCTTTACCCCTCCCCTAGCTTGTGCCCTCTCTTTCTTTTCTTTTTTTTTTTTAAGATTTTATTTATTTATTT